AATCAGGTTGTATTCAAAGTAGGTTTCTCATTAATTTAATATATTAAGCATTTATTATGCTTCAATTAGCCATCAGGCACTATGTAAGTCATTGTGTAATACTAATCAGAAAAGACTGTCCATGAGTTCCTAGGGCTTACAGCTTCTTAGACGAAATAAACCAAAGTAACAATAGCATTTATAGGTGAAATAATTAAAGGAGTATGGGTACTGTAGAAATACAGAACAGGTACCTCAGCCTAATATAAATGGTCTATGAGGAAGTATATTAGAAAAAGTAAAGATCTAAGCGGTGATATGATAGTCAAATAAAGAGAAGGAGGAATAATGTTCCAGGCAGGAGTTTACTTTGGCTGGACTGTAATGTTCAAGGGGTTTATAACAAATGTATCAGCAAGATCAAGTAATATGAACCTTTTAAGCCAATTAAAAGAGTTTAAAGTTTAAGCAGAGATCAGTGGGAAGGTATTGCATGATTTTTAAGCGGGAGATTAACATGATCAGGATTCTATTTTTGAATAATCACTGTATTTTAGGGGGAACAAATATAGAGGTGGTTATCTATTAGTCCTCATAAGAGATGAGTATGGTCTTCGGGAGGGTAGAGATATTGAAGACAAAGAGATACTTATGAGAGAAAATCTTCAGAATATAGACTTCCAGTTTCTATTAGTGGCAGAAAAGTTTATATTGAATTAAACCTCCTCCTAATAATATTATAAGCTCTGGGCATAATACAAAATAAAAAGTTGGAAGGCTTTGGAGAGTGACCAAAAGCAGGTAGAAACTTAAGGAAATTAGACTCTTGCAAGAAAGGTTAAGTTTACATTTACATCCCTTTTTTTTGTTTGTTTGTTTATAGACACCATCTGCAAAGTGTGGGGGCAGCTAGACTCTAATAAGGGAGTCACAGTCTTTGAGACACCAGAGGAGGTAGTTTGGGGATACCAGAGGGGGAAAGTTTTATAATGGAGGGAAAATTAAGGGTGATTGCCTCAATATTTGCATATAAACTCTTCCCAAATCCTTGACCGATCCCTGAAATATGCATATATAAAGCAAGATATCAAGGATCCCAACAGAAAACAATAGCTGGACAGTTGAAAGAGCAGAGTAGAGATTTCAGCAACTTCCTGTTGCTGTGGTAACTTAGAAATTAGAGTTCTGCCAAATTAGAGGAGCTTGATAAACACCACATGCCAGAAGGGCAACTCATAGGTGTAAAGACCATGTTGTTAGAACTTAGTTTTGCCCTAATATCAAAGACAAAAGACATATATATAAAATCAAATTACATGCTTAAAGTTTATGCAAATAAAAGTGCTACTAGACTGATGATCAGTTGGATATGGATGTGATGTTGAAGGTGAGGTCATATATGGATTCTATATTTGTCATGAAATAATACTGTCATAATCCTTTTAGATAGAAAGCTCTTCATGGAAAAGGTTGGTAAGGAAAATTTTGATGCTATATTGTGGATTACCAAATCTAAGCAAAGCTGATTTTAGAGAAATTATTCTACATATAATTTTTCTGGTCAAACCTGCTCACAATTGAACTCCATTTTCTGCTTATGTTTCTTTCACTGGTCTGGCACAGGAAGATTGGAATGCCAGGGTTACAACAAGAAACAAAACCAAGTTCTTTGTATGTACTCTGCTGATATTTTCATAAATAGTACACTCTTGTCTTCTTAACTTTGGTAATAAAAATGATAGAGTTTAAAACTCTTTTATAAAATATTTTGAAAATGTAGGATATTTCATTGTTAGTAATTATAGTATTCAGGCTTTCAAAAACAGTTGTTGCTCAAGAATTCCTTAAGAATTAACATCTTTCTGAAATATAAGGGATCCTGAACAGTCAGAAATTAGGGAATTTATTTTTTAAGCTGATCCTAAATTTAACAGATCACTAAATTGGATCTGTTAAAATTACCCAGAGTCATAAGGTCCTGTTAATATTGCCTGGAATAAAGAAATAATTTCACTATGCTTAATTTAGTATTAATGGTTTTTATGAAAATATTTATTCTTGAAGTAACTTCTCAATGTTTATTATTGAATTTTTATGTAGTACTTATTCATTTTATGGTTTTATATATTATCATTGTATCTATATAATCACTATGTTTTTGAAAGGAATTATTATTATAATCTCTAATATTGCCAAACTTGACTTGATTATAGTTTGATGCTTAGTTTTGCAGTTTTCCCTGAGTTCTGCTTCTCTTCACTGTACTCTCAAACAGAATAGCTATATTGTGCTCATCTTTCATCTTTAGTCTCTTACCATCACTTTTTCCTCCTCCTTGAAATGCTGAATACTTGCTGTGTTCCAGAATGTATTCTAAATACTCAGTATGAATTACCTCATGTGGTTAGTTTCAATTACTTCATTAACTCTTGAAATTTTGGGACACAAGTTTCCTAAGTGCTGAATACCTATGTTTTATCAGGTATCTTGGTTTTTGACTCTTTATGTCACATCTAATATTAAGAGGTAAGTCAATTGCCCAGAATTACATTCATTCAATTCACCAATTTAAGGAAAAAACATGACATGTAAGATGCAGGCAGAATAGGTGATTAGTGGGTTACCCTTTCATAGAATGAGTAGCTAATTCTAGAGTCATAACATACTAAATGTTGGATAGGTAAGATTCTATGAATTGTAATCTACCTGAAAACCTAGAATACTAATCAAATTTTCTTGAAATCACCTAATACATATTCATTTATTCATTCACTCAATCATTTTTCTTTTTATAAACATACACTCACACATAACAACACACATCTACATACCAGTACATAAAGTAAATCAAATGTCAGTTTTTTATTTTCTCAGAATTTTAGCTAAAGATCCAAAATTGAGAAAATAAGTAAAAAACACTTCCACAGTCACAACTATAAGGAGAAAATTAACATTTTCTGAGTACTTTGTATGAGTCAGATATCTTACGTGTGTTATTTCAAGTAGTCCTTTAAGAAATTCTAAAAGGTAGGCATGGTCATCTTTGTTTTACCCCTGAGAAAACTGAGACTTAGACAGGTTAAGTGACTTGCTGAAGTGTTCAAAACCAGATTGAAAGCCAGATCTGATGAAATCAAAAATCTATGCCATATTATTTACAGAACACTGCTTCCCCAAACCAGCATACAACTTCCTGGAGATCTTTTTGGGTGAGGAAAGCCATCTCTCTATGTAACTGTGTCATATTGGGAGCATGAACTTCATGATATCTGCCATTAAATAATTTTTATTCTAATGGGGAGTCATCAGAAGGAATCTAGTTGAATGTGTCGAGGGGAAATAATGAGATACTATGTCAAAGTTAGATACTTTAGTTCATCAGTCCCAAACACCACACTCATAACTTCAATGATGGTATAATTTTATTCTCATCAATGACACCATTTTCCTGAGCCATCCTTTATTAATACAATTATCCAGTTGATTCAGTGATGTTAGCTTTATTCTTCTTGTTACTTTCTGGATTATGCAATAATAGAATATTTGAAAAGAAATATAATTTTAAAGACAAGACTTATTAAATGATTATATTATTTTTCTGACTCACTTAAAGAGTGTAATATTATTTATAAGTAAAAAGAAGTTCAGAAGAGTTAAGATATTTTGTATATTTCAAAGAACTGATATTAACACTGAGGAAGCAAATAGCCTAAAATTATATCCGAGGCACCGCCACATCTTTTTCTCTGAAAAATAAGATAGAAGAGCATTTTCATACCATTAGACTGTCTGGTGTAAAATTTCCTAGGTATATTCTAAATTACTTAATAAAGAAATAAAAAAATTACTTTTTCTGACATTGATGCCATAGAGAGTGAAGGGCACACTATGCTGAAATCCCTTTAGTATTTCTTATTCAATAACTTGAATTAACTTGCATTGTACAAAATGGTACATACCAAAAAAGACTCTTCTAAAAAGGTGCTAACACTTTTGACTTTTGGTTGTATTTTTGTACTTTTTTTTCATCTGAAGAAGACTAAGTATTCATTTTCATAGGAAAAGGAATCAGAAAAGACTCATAGGCAGCAGGGAGGAGATTAAAAAAAAAAAACTTGCCTTTTAGTTTTCCCTTTAAGTCAAATTGTTTGCTTTTTAGTGTGTATTTTTTACTTCTTGGTGCCATACCAGCCTGTCCTTCTATCAAACACTCACTAGCCTCACAGCCAACTAAGCCCAGTAGCACGGGTAATTAATTAAAGTTATTTTTGGTATAAAAATCATGAAATTTAAAATTTTCATATGATTCTGAAATTCTTTTTATCACTGAGACTTTGTTTCATTTCAATCTAATACAGATGTGTTGGCATTATTACAACATGCAGCTTGCAGAGTGAAGTGCTGATTTGGAAGAGCTGACTTTGCATACAGTGTCTGTAGAATGTCTTTTACATGAACCTAATATATTTACTATTTGTGTTTTCAGTATTTACATCAAGTTTATGGCATAGGCAGACGACTCTCAAAAATTATTCTGATTTTAAAAAATTGCTTAAATCCGATAATTATTAGTAGCTTTGTAGAAATATATCAGCACAAACTTTTTCTTTTTTCATTTTGATAAGACCACTTCATTAGTTCCTGACAGTTTTTTTTTTTTTTTCCTCTTTTAATTTAGTATATGTCATGATACTTAAAGCATGCCTCTTGGCAAATACCTACCAAAAACTCTGAATGATTAGTACAACATCTTATGGTTCCTTTAGGCTACCAGTCTTGGCCTAGTGAAAAAGGGACATTCATAAGAAGCTCTTATTAAATCGAAATTAAGTTATATTCTGATTAATTATCAGTAAGCAGTTATTGGCCCCCCTATTCAAGGTTAAGACCACATATTCTACTGTGTCATTAACTCTCTCACTATTTCCATGACTAAGTCCTATTAATTAAGCACTAAGTTTATCTTTATATTTTCTATTAGACAACAACTTCTTACATCAAATGTAATCGGATTACCCTACCTTCTCTTCCATGATCTCTGGGGTAATAGTTGAGTCTATTGAAGAAGCAAAAAAACTTGTTGTACTGGGTTTTTGTGAAGTTGAAGGAATGAATATTCCTCCACTGGCATGCCTAATGTTTTTCATTTCTTTTTGTAAATATGGTATCACTCCTCCTGCTGGCTATAGAGAATGAAAAAGAGAACAAAGTGATTATAGGTTCAAGCACAAGGTCAAAATTTGGAAGAATGTAAAGCAACAGGATTGAGATGCAAGGCAAGGAATTTATTTAAAAAGTATATGTCTTTAATATTTTCTAGATTATAATCTATCCTTTAGAAAGACTATGACTATAAACCAGCAAACATGGTGTCTCTTAATACCTGATTTTAAATGAGTATACCAAAGAGAGTATCTGACATAGAGTAGTCCTTCAATAAATATTTGATGAACTGAGTGAATTCAATTTTGACTGGCAAAAGATTACAAGGGGAAGATGTAATAATTGTTGATGGTATAATTAATAATAACAATAATAATAATAATAATAATAATAATAATAAAGTTTTCATTAAAATGAACAATAGTGCAGGTTGCCAGTTGTTGATTTCCAGTACCTAGCAGGATGTGGTAAGGAATCTTACCATCATAGCAGTTTCAGGAGCTGTGCCAATGATGGTACCAAAGATTAGTTGTTGCTGTCCTGGTATAACCTGAAAAATCAGAAAGTTTTAAAAAGTCTAAATTATTAATCTATAAAATATGTTGTTTTGTATCCAAGACAGTTAAACACTTCCCAACTTCTTAAATTAGTTTCTTAAAAACAGAAATAATTTATGTTTAAGAAAGAGAAAAGCAGCTCTTGACATGAGGAAACTGGCCTGATAAAAAGGTACTGCTTGTGTTGTCAGGAGCTTGTTGACATTCTCTGCTAGGCCCTGGTACTCTGTGGAACATTAACAATCCTGCAGAACACCAACATCAGACAAGTTTGCCTCTGAACACAATGAAGTGTGACAAAAACAAGACCACTTTGTAATCTTGTGTAAAGCAAGATCATGGGCCAAGCCATGAAAATACCAGGCATCCTCATATCCTGGCTAATATGAGTAATTCTTGCTTCTTTACCAAATCACAGCCTCACCTTGCTTCATTGTTGTTACCTTTGAGGTAAGAATCATCAAGTTACACCCCTGTCACACATACACATTTCTTGAGAACACCCAATCCAGGGTGAACCATCATTCCTCGAACTTAACACAAACCCAGATCCTATAAGAAATTATTTCAATACCTTCCTATTAAGACACACCATAGTTTCCCATGGTATGTGTTCTCCCTCATTTCAATGAGTGGATAAATCTAACTTTTCAACTAGGGATGTGTTCATGGTGGTTTTGGGCTGAAGGGCACTGATACATTTAATAGGTTGTAAAATAAGTGGTTTCAAAACAATTTTTTTTTGATGGAAAGCTATCATTTACTTACGAGTTCTGCTTGTTGCGGTATATATCCAAATTGAGTATAGAATGACATCTGTCAGATTTTTGAAAAAGTGTATTACATTTACTCTGATGATTTTTGTCATAATTTTGTGATAAATAATTACATAAAATTATATTTATTTTTATATCATACTAAATATTTTTTGAAAGTTTATATATTCTAGGTGGTAAAAAATGTGAAATTGCCAAGCATTCTTTTGACATCATATGACTTCTAGGTTAAAATTCCTTTTTTCTCTTTAACATGACAATTGGGATTACTACTACCAGTAATTTAAAGCATATTTTTCAGTTTTCTCTAATTTTGTTTGGCAAGTTTTAGAATGGTGATAAACTATTTTTTTTTCCAATTTAACTAAAAGAAACCTAGTCATTATGAGCCACACAAATTTACATTAGAATTCTAAAAATTTTATCACTGGTCCACAAAACTTAAAGTAGTTATCTAATTATATCTCAAGTTCTGGTGATCATAGGTACCTTTCATCACGGTAGCTATTTTTATTTCTTTTAAATAATAACCACATGTATATATGACAAGAGGGATTCCGGTAGATGTTTTAAAATTAGAAAACTTTCTTTTTCAAAATGATTCAGCTTTTAATTTTTGATGTTATTGAGTTCACTCTCTGATTGCTATCTTTTAAAATTCAGCCTTATAGCATTTTCAAATTAGTGATATGTTAGGGGAAAGCATTATATACTTTTATGACTACCAGAGCAAACTGTTGAGTTTTTGCACTAAATATACTCAGATATTCTCTTCTCTAAAAATTTACTTTATCCTCTCTTTTCTCAGATGGAACTAATCAGATTAAAATCAAACACCTGCAGTACCTGCTCCTCAAATTGCTGCTGTCCCGTTTGTGGAGGTGACTGTGTGACTGTTTGCTGAGGTTGTTCACAGGGGAGAAGCGTGTCAACCGGATAGTACTGAAGCATCTAATTTTAAACAGAAACATATGTGAGAGCTTCCTTTGAATCAGCATAGGCCCTTTAAAAAATCATTTGTCAATATTATTTTAAAGCTGATTTATATTTAGCAAATTTACGAACAAAAGAACTCATGAAGCAGTCTCTCCCAAACTTTAGAAACAACTGATATTAAACAGGATACTGGACTTTGTTTCATGGTTGCTTGCTGGGTCAAATACATTTAGGAAGTAGTGAGTTCAACTAAACAATAGGCTATTAAAAAGGACCCCGTAGACTTTATATACAAATTTTAGACTTTATATACTAACTTTATATACAAATTACTTCGCAAATATCTAAGAAGATGATAGTCTATGCAGTATTTCCCCTATATTTTTTTTGAGAATCATTCATCTGCAGGATATGGTATTAGAAATTCTACCACAATGAAGGAAATGTCAAGAATGTATTGTCTTTAATAATTAACATTTTATTAAAACCATCCATATGGATGTTAGAATATTTTGAAAATCTAGAGACAAGGAACAAATATATAAAACCACCTGTAACTTTATCACTCACATTATCATGCATTAACTTCCACTTATGTTTGTATGTCTAAATATTCATAAGTATTTATAAAAATGGGGATCATAGTACATACATAGTTTTGTATGTTGTTTTCTTTCTCTTGTATAATTAAATAAGAGACTATTTTAGACATAAGAATTAAAAAAATGATTGTGGTCTAAGAAATATATTTTGTGCAGTGGTTCTTAATTCTAGCTAAGAATTGAAACCACCTATTGAGAATTTTAGCAGATAATCGTATTTGGGATTTACTCATGTATCATGTATCATGTTTCTAACTCTCTAAAAACTATGGCTACAATGAGATAATGTCTAGAAGTAATTTTGTAATGGGTGTGGGACAAAATTACATAATTATAATTATCATACAGTCAAGTGGTCTTTTTATGAGTGGTCAAGACTCTGCTGGGGAATAATATAATTTATCTATACTTCTATTTTTTTGAACCCAGGATATTTTAAAATTAATTAGCCTAATCTTGAGAGGGTCTTCCATATTACTCAAATGAATCTACTAGTTTGCATTCATATTTTAAAGATTCTCTTATTTCATGGAAATAACCACCATTTGATTGTAATGTGAAGTTAAATTAAAAATATACAAAAACTCGGAAATGTTTTGAGAAGAATTTCATAACTCAAATAATGTGGGCAAGTGTTTCTTATCTCGACATCATATTATATTTTATCAATTCAATACATCTCTCTCTAAAACAAAATTTAAGGTTGGGCAAAGTCAGCCCCTGGTATATTCTCTTTAGTTGTTCCCAAATGCCGGCAGATGCAAAGAGGACAGAACAGAGGGCTTGGTGAGCTCCTTTATTCCCAGCACAGTAATGCCCTCGGAATTCAGAGGTCCTGCAGACTCTCCTTAAGGGACTTTCTTCAGGAGTTATTAAGCAAGCCTGATATTAACAAACTGATGCCAGCCCAGTAATAGCAGTATCCAGACAGTAATATCATTGTGTGGGTTTTTATAGCCCTGCTAAAGGAGTCAAAGTTACAGATTTAAAAAAGAAAAAAAAAATTCAATGGAGAGTGAATGTAGCCATCTCTCTATTGGTATAATGATGTCTTATTGATTTACCTGTGTTTGCTCTTGAGGCATTCTGAAGAACACATAGGGCATTGCCTGCCAAAAAAAGGAATCGTAAAAAGTTGTATTTGACTTTTTAATTTAAAATTACAGAGCTGTTTTTTTTAGACCTACACATGTAAATTTATAATTTATGTTAGCAGACTGCTATGACAACAAAAGGTCACCTATTATATAAACCATTATTAATACAAATTGCCTTTTTTTAAAGATGAAATTTCCCTAATTATTTTTTCCAAGTCATATTTTAACACTTTTGATTTGTGGCTGATTTAAATGTTAGAAATATTTTTCATGTTCAGAAAAGATAAGGAAGTACTTCTAGTGGTGGTAGGAACATAGTGTGGAAAAGAATTCTTGCTCAATAATTCCTGTCTTATTTCAAAGTTGATTTATATTTTTTTTCACATTCAATGTGTGTTTTTCTCCTCACAACAAGATAGAAGAGGCTCGAATTACGTGATTAGGGCCCTGTTGGATCTGCACTGGTGTTTGAAATTGTGAGGGGTCCAGTTGTCCCATCTGGGTTCTATGGTCAAAATTGACCTGTCCAGGGAAAGTTATCTGATTTGGGAATAGTCCAGCAAACCGGTCTAGAGTTGACAAAGACAAGGGGCCTTGTCCTGGAATTTGAGCTTGCTGTTGCTGTTGTAAGATTCCAGAGAAAGGCGGAATCCATGAATAAAACGGGCCCTGGAAAGAAACGAAAGAAAGAAAGGAAAAATTTCTCTTTCATTTCAGAAAGAATTGAAAATCAGTCCTGAGCAAGAAAGAAACAAAATGTAAACAATTTCTGTATTTCCATTGCTGCATTGTAAAAACGAAGCATCTTGGCACATTACGAGCTGTGCATATAAGCATGAACAATGCTCAGTTCCCAAAAGTCATGAGAAATATGGAGCAGCATGAAGTAGATAAAGAGTACAGTTTTTGCAGTTGTCAGACTGATTGAAAATATCTTTTTTTAATTTTTTTATTTTTTACCAGTTAGCTGAGTATAACCTTGTATAAAATAATTAGATTAACTATCTCATTGCTTGGCATATACCAACTTCTCAATAAACAAGTGTTAATCAGATTATAGTTTTTAGTTTTCAAACAAATGGTTATTAGAAAATATGGGATGAATTCATAACTTTAAAAATTGAGATTTCAAAAATGAAATAAAAACATTTTGTTCTCAAAGTACCATAATAAGAAAGGAGCAGTAGAAAAACTTTCTTAAAATAATTATTGAGGTAGAAGTACCTGAAGCTGTAATGGCTGAAGTTGAGCATTATAAAGATTCAGCAGTAACTAGAAAAGGAAAGATCATATGAAAACAAGATTACTACACATACTAAAATTATTAAGAACAATGTTTACTACAAATATAGCTTAAGTCAGAACTGACTGATTATGGTTTCCTGTTAGAGGTGAGATGTTTTCTCACTAAGCCTATATACTTAATTGCAATGATTAGAGGTTGAGATTTGACTACCTCTCCCCTGCTGTGTATGAGACTGTACAACTTTAGCCCAATCCAGTGGTTTGGTTAGTCATTTTATGCTCTTAAACACCTATATACACCTGTATTAGGTGCTACTAGAACAAAAGATATACAAGATATTGTTATTGTCTTTAAATGATTTATAATCAAACAAGGCAGCCAAAATAATATTTTAGAAATAACCTGGTATATAAAACAAACATGAACATTGGAAATGCATTTGGATATAAGAGCATTAAAGAGCCAAAGAATCTTGACTGTCCCTAATTAGGTTTTTAATTTTTCACCTTTATCTCTTCCTCACTAGGTTTTCAAAAAATAAGTAAAGAAATAAACAACAAGGAAGCGATTGTTTTAAGTTTTTAAACTAACCTCATTGCTATTGCTTGCAGAGAAAAGGCGCTGTGCGATAAGCTAAAAAAGAAAAAAAAAATGGCAAAAGGATTTATTACAGGTTTTACACAATGATTTCAGTTGTACCATGAGATCACTCACCGGGGCTGACATTGTGGCTCCCAGTAGCCCAAAAAGAATTATAGTTTTCATTTTCAGATGAATTATCTAGAAAATGAAGTGTGAAATTTAACTTTAAAAAGACTGTGTAAAAATCATGATAACTATAACTAACTGGTATTATTCAATCAAAAAAGTAGGCAGGTAAATTTTATAGTATTTACTTATATATCAGGATTTAAAATGAAAGGTATATTTTAAATATCTATAATAGAAATTCTTTTCTTTCAGAACAGTTGCTTAAAAAAACAAATCGTGTGCTCATCCTTTTAGCTTGAATAAATGACTCATTTTGTGGCATATGGTGTAGTTGACTAAGTTATGAACAATATGGTCTTATCCTTTGTGCTGTTCTACGCTGAAGGGAATGAGTCCCGTCTGTGGGAGGCCCATGACTAGATCCTTATTATGAAAACAATTTTAATGTCTACTTAATGTGTAGTAAAAATACAATACAGATCTGACAGTAGTAGTTCAATATGAGATAATTTTCATTTAAAAGTATAATAATATTAAAATATATTAAAACTAAGAAACTGAGTTAATATTTTTCTAATTTAGGAAAAAAAGATTATAAAACTAAACTGCAGTATTGATTTATAGTGCGACCCATGGAAGTATTTATCTCTTGTACTCCTTATGTGAAAACCCTGCCCTCCTTCCAATCACTGATCTACACAGTAATTAGGGTGATTTTGGTAGTCTGTCCTGTAGTGTTAACTGCTTTGGGTTCTTAATATTATAAAAGCAAAGATTTGATATCTTACCTCGCTCCTTTACCTATGAAGAGATATCTAGACCTATGCAAGCTCTGTGTTCTTTTTATCTTTCAGCTCTGCTGCTTGGAATATCTCTCATATTTTAAAACCCATCTTTAGAAAAAAAAAAAGACCAATTATTTCTTCAAAATGACCAGTGATTCAGGGGTTTCCAGACAATGGCTTAGCTAATTACACCTTTCCTAATCACCTAGATGGTATGTGGATTCCCACATTTAGTAATGTCATTAAATTACTCTCTGAGATATGTTTCCCTGTAATCATTCCTGGTTTCTGCTTTGGTTATGACTAAATCTTCTAGAATAATTTCATTCTGCTCTTTTTTAAATCATCCTTAAAATGGATATTTGATAGAGTAAGTTCAAAGTTGAATGGGTGATTATTTTTAAGAGTAAAAAATAGAATTTTTAGACATAAGGAATAGGTCTAAAAGGCGAAAATTCAAAACCTAGTTAGGGGCAGTAAAGATTCTTTGGTCCTTCAATGCAGGACTGAGCTAATTTCATTAAGATTTAACCATGAAAACATCAGTAAATCTTCTACTTATGAAATGAAATTCTAAAAAAAATTGTTAAATCTCTATGTGTCTATGACATGTATGTCTCTGTGTGATCATGTTGCTTGGGATAAATAATTTAATAAATATAAAGCATAATGACCTACAGTTTTAAAAATAGTGGTAAGTTAATGCTTTACATTTTAAAACTTCGCTTTTACAAAATATGATTTTAATATTCAAAATACAACTAAGTATTATCTTTACATCATTGTTACTTAAATTTTCTTTATAAAGTGAGTTTTGTGTTTATTTGTCTTAGTTTTTGTTGTTAATATTGACCCCACTCTGGTAGTCCAGGATCTTAAGTGTTGTGATAATGTATTATCATTTAATTTCCTATTGTGTAAGAGTTCTGTGGCTAATCTTAAACAACTAATGGTGACCTTATCATGCAGGAAAACAAAGTTATTGCTTTAAGTAAATTTGTTTTTCTTATAGGATGACACACTTCTTAAAACTTGAATGGCTCATTTATACTAAAATGACAATAGCATTTGACATCTAGCCTAAAAAAAAAGGACAAAAAAATTAGATAAAATAACAAAACCCCTTTTTTTACTAAAGAAGAAAAGCTACTACTAAGTTTTTATATCTGTTAGAAACTTTCCCAAGATTTATGAATGTTACATTTTCAGATTAGCTAAATAGACCATCCTAGGTGTTGATGGCAGATTTAACTATAGCTGAATGGTTAGTGTAAGCAACTGTTGCCTGGAAAATCTAGTAGGTTGGTTGAGTGAGTGAACAAGGTACTATATTGCCTAATGACGTATATATTTACAATTAATGACTTTGGTCCATTCTGAATGTTATCAAATTAGTACACCACAAAGTCTCGGTCTTCCGAGATTTTCTATTATACAGGGTTTCTATTATACAGATTTTCTATTATGCAGGGTTTAGACAGCTAATCCCACTCTGAGCTAAGAAGCTCTCAGGGCCAAACACTGAAAAAGTTAAGAATTGTATTACAAAGTTAAAATATAGTCAGTGCGAAAATTATCCTGATGATGAATAATTTCGCCTAGATATACTCTTCTAATCTGAAGGTAGTTAAAAGGCAATTTCTGTCATTTCTCCCCCATTATTTGAATATTCTAAAGAAAACCAGTTGAAACTATCTGGTTATACAATAAGTTAAAGTGGGAAAAAACAGGCTATGCTTTCCTACCTGATAAATTCTAACCCACTGTGTCCTTGGAGGCAAAGTTATCTCTGGGTAGGAGGGAAGTAGCAAGGGGCCCTAGTTTAATCCTTATCACATTGTAATGTGAATATCGTTTGTGTATTTCTTCCATTCAGAGTGTTGTTGAACTTATTCATTTTTCTATCCCATGTCAGTCACCCAGTAGGTATTCCTGC